AAGGTGACCTTGCTCACATCGTTGTAGGACACATCGAAGCTAATGGCATGTCTAAGCATACGCGCTCGAATCTCAAAGATGGTATAACGTACGTGCTCGAGGTCGTATCAGTAACCTCGGCAGAGATGGTCAATGCCTCAGTGACTTCGGCTACCTCTGGAACACCGACTTTGACGGTCAGCGTGTCGGAAACGCCAATAGTTGACGCAGCTGGACATCGGATCAATAATGGAATGACCATAGAGACAATTCAGAAGACATACTAGTGACGGTGTAAGAAGTATCGGTGTTGAAGCCTTGGTCGACTTCGATGTCAACTTCACCTTCAGTACCAACGAGTTGACCCGCAGTAGAGGTGGTGTGCGTCTGGCAGACCGGGTCGCCTGTTCGCAAATCAGAATTCAGATCGAAAGGACGTCAAGGTCGAACGTACCAGAGAAGGTGAGCTCTACAACCTCGTCGGTGATGCATACCGAGGCAGGGCTGTCGACGTACTAGAAGAATGGTCAGGAATGAATGGATGTGGTGACTATGGATCTCACGTCAGTAGGGTTCGTAACAATGTCGCGAGAGCCGTCGCCCCAGTTATCATTGGCATATTGCTCAATGGCGTCCCATCCAGGAACTGCATGAATATGAATCAGCGTTGTACAGCATGAAAGGGAACTGGCCACTGACGAGTTTTGGCTTCATCGATGGAGAGCTGGCCGCACTGGCTAGCGGCACGGCGCTCGAGACCGTTAGACTCAGCATCGACGGGATACCTGCCGTAGAGAGAACCGTCGCGCTTGAAAGCGAGGTAGTGTCCGCGGGCTTCATCGACAGCGATATGGGTAATGTCCCTGGGAAGGATACCGACGAGGTCGCTGAAAGGCAAAGCAGTGACGCCAGAAAGGGCAGTCAAAAGAGTGATAAACTAGAGTCGGTGTGTGTTAGGACCATTAATAATAACTGGGATCCGTTTGGCACTCACAGCGGCAGGCGTGAACATCGTGCAATGAAGTGGGAAAGTAAGAAGGAGCGAAGAGAAAACGAAGGTTGATGATCCTCTAGACCTCATATCGACCTGCTTTTATACGTGAAATGCTATGTTTCATGTCTCTGTCACTGGTTTCATGACCTGAGCGAGGTAAGGAGGGACTTTCGAATTGCACACCGAGCATGCGGTACGCGAGCGCTGGGCCGTGATGCGACGTTTCGTGATCGGTGAGAATGATAATGGAAAGCTTCAAGTACTGCGCTGTAAGTAAAACATCACCACATTGAACAGATATCAAAACACCGACCAAGGATGCTTGTCTAAATCCACAGCAGCATTGCAGTTAGCGACGAATACCGGCTTCGGCGCGAAGACCTCACCAATAACTTTCAGAATGCACAGGCGGCCCACGGTTACCAAATGGTTACAGTTTCCATGCCGCACGATGACGGCCACCCCAGATCTGAGATCAACGATACGTTAATCTGAGGGTGTCCTCTATCATGTCTCGAAAAGCTAGCTATATCGTATTGCTGCTCATGGACGCTCCACAGCGGGACAAAATAGTCCGAAGATCAAGCGCAATATTTCAAAGGAGACCAACGTTCCTACGAATACAGATAAGGACGACATGGGAATAATTGTAGGAATCATGGCTCAGCAACTATTACCCATAGATATTTCAGATATAGGCGGACTCTGGAATAGACTATCTGTCGGTGGAAAAAGTTATTCGACAAACGTCCTGGAACGCACGTTCTCTCTATTTCGAACTCGAATTTGAACGTATCAGCGAAGAGCCGCGGCGACGGTCGAATCTCAGTAGGATCCCTGTGTATATACATGAAGGCTTGGCGTTCCTCCAAACCGAAGTCAAATGGACTATGCAGTGCTCGTAGGAATCATCAATGAATTACTGTCCAGCCGAAACGGATTCAGAGTACTGCATCACTGTTTCACGAACGTTTACACACCACTATCTTTGTATTGATGTTGCCGTCGAGGCGAAAAGGAATTAGCATGCAAAGTGACAGAAGGGCCTGAGAGAGCCTGAGAGTCATGATCGCTAACCATGATTGCCAAAGCGTGATCACTTTCCCACGCCACAGACGTGTTCGGCAATTGTGACATCCGTGACTGGCCCTCTCAGTTCACGACGACCACCTCCACCACTATTGCCCTCTCTCGACCCATTTTTCAGCGCATATAATGCCAGAAAATATGCTCAAAAAATTCCTGTCAACAGGTACGATGCTATACCATCGGATTCCGGGCGTCATTTCGGCTCGGTTACCCATCAAGCCGGACAACAAATTTGACTCAGCCAAATGTTGACAGCGCTCTCTTTCCAATTTCCATCATGCAGAACGCTGGCGATATGACGAATGCGCGTGAGCGCTCTACCATCGATGTTACGGCAGTGAGGAACTTGTTGTACAGCAAGTAACCTTCGTTCGGTATTCTGCCTTGGATGCTGAGATACGATGTAGATGGTCGTGCGCGCTGGGAGCAAAAGCAGAGGATTGAAAAGATCCTTTCCAGTGACCCCGTCTTTGACAAAATGAAACGGTAGGCTTTGCAGAACAATCTTGTTCTCTACTGAGACGAAATAGGCCTTTTATCACCCGAATGGAAGCGTACAGCCGTGGTCAGCGCCTCACAAATCGCATATATCAGCTCGAGCAGGACTTAGGATGGACAAAAGATGATACTACCGTCGCTTTCTCAGTATTAGATGACCGCCTTCCTTCGGGTCTACACAGCGATGGTGCGTCGATGTCTCCTTTGCGATTTCTATCATATCAATCCATACATTTCTAGCATTTGAACCGGTCATTATTGGTCAAGGATCGCCTATCCTTTTAGAAAAGTACGCAAAGCTGGTTGCTACACGTGGCATCCTCGGATGCTACCTGCAAACAGAGCTCGGCCATGGTTCCAACGTCGCTCAGTTGGAAACGACTGCGACTTTTGTTCCGGAGACGCAAGAGTTCGAGATTCACTCGCCTACTCTTACGAGTACGAAGTGGTGGATCGGGGCACTCGGGAAGACCGCGACTCATGGAGTATTACAAGCGAAGTTGATCCTGCCGGGGGGAAAGGACATGGGGCCCCATCTCTTTTTCGTGCAACTTCGATCCTTGGGTTCGTCTATCTTATTACTTCCTTCTATCCAGGCTGTTCATTTGACTCAATAGAGGATCATAAGCTTCTTCCTGGCATCATTGCGGGTGATATAGGTACTTTTTCTTAGAGATTTCTATGGTGTTCGTGCTGATATATTTTATAATCTTTCAATAGGCCCGAAGGCAATGAACGGATACGGTTCTGTTGACAATGGATATGCGCGGTTTGACCACTACCGGATCCCAAAGGAAAATATGCTCTCTAAGTTTGCTCAGGTTACTGAAGACGGTACTTATGTCAAACCGCCTCACGCGAAACTGAGTTATGGTGGGGTAAGGATCGTCTCTTGTTGATATTTCTCTGGAACTGAGATGCCATTGTTAGATGATGTACATACGCTCTGGGTACGGCTCTCAGCGTTGGATTTTAGTGTTGGTCTGATATCTCGGCTTATAGAATGATATCTCATTCAGGGTCTGCGGTAGCTCGAGGTGTGTCTCATGTGTAAAGCCTCAACTTTAATTGACATCAGAATAGCTATTACCATCGCCATACGGTATGCCACCGTTCGCCGACAAGGGGACAAGGAGGCGGATGACCTTGAGCGTCAAGTTATCACGTATCCGTCTGTGTATGGCCGACTACTACCTATCCTCTCACGCACATACGTATATGTTCTCTTGGGCCGAAACATAGTATGCCGCCGTTCGGCTTATCAGAACAATTGCTAATCATCCTTCAGTTGAAGTCATTCGAAGCCTTCTTGCAGCAGCTAGCGTCTGGAGACATGACCATGTTACCTGAAATGCACGCCATCACGAGCGGACTCAAAGTCCTATGCACTGCGACAACTATGGACGACATTGAATCGGCGAGACGGTCCATGGGAGGGCACGGGTACAGTGCCTTTGCAGGAGTAGGCAAGCTCTACGCAGATTACCTTCCTAGCGTGACGTAGGCTCCTCTCTTCTGTTGGGGTGTACGGTGTCACTGATGCATCGGCAGGTTTGAAGGAGAGAACTTTGTTCTAGACAAACAGGTCCTGCGCGCAGCGCTCAAATCATCAAAGAGCGATGCCTTATCGCTTTCACCCTTTTCGCAGTATCTTCGCCTTCTTCATGGAAAGCAGCAACTTCCCATTTCTTCATGGCAGGACCCAGCCGAAGTTGTGCTGCTGCTCGAATGGCGTGCTGCCTCGCTGGTGAGGGATGCGGCGGAGACTGATAATGACTCGGACACTAGCATCACGCAACGAGTTTCGAAGGCCGTTGCTGAGGCATTTGTGGCGACCCAGGTAATGGAGATGATCGGTGCTGCAGAGAGCTCGTTGAGAGCTGAGAATGCCTTGGTGTTGAAAGGGCTCTTCATGCTTGTAAGCCGGCCTCCATCTTCTACTTGATGAGACTGACAGGACTTTCTGCAGTACCTCCTATCTACAGTCGAAGGATCCTTGACAGATTTCTTGACATTCGACCTCATCAAGGGCAGCCAGACAAAGAGTCTGCGAAGGGCAATCTCGAGGTTTTGCCAAGAGTTACTCCCGAATGCCATTGGGCTTACGGATGCGTTTGGCTTCTCAGATTGGGAGCTCGACAGGTTTGTGTTCGATTCCATCCTGACAATAAGTAGGCTGATAGTGCCATGCACAGTGCCTTGGGTGTATACGACGGAAGGGTGTACGAGGCGCTTTGGGCCCAGGTGCAGACGGAGCCTTTGAATCAGACGGAGGTACCTGAGGCATACGAGGTCGGTGATTTACCATCTTTCTCGAGTTTTCTTCTGATCTAATGGTTTGGAAGGAGTCCATCAAACATATACTTGGGAGGGGACGGCGGTTAGCGAAGCTGTGACATTGTCCCGCAAACAGATTGCTACGAATGAGACATTATTGCAAGGGCACATGGTGTAGTTGGTTTATCACGCCCGCTTAGCATGATATCGCTCGGGACGGTTGTTTGCGGGAGGTGTTGGGTTCAATTCCCAATGTGTCCAGTTGTTTTGCTTTTATTTCATACAATATCGTTGAAACTTGACAGTTGTACAGTTGTACAGTTGTACATACTACATAGTGCCACGTCCCACAGGTCGGGCGAACGCGTCGTGTGTAACTGTTATGGAATGTGCAGGTAGACTCATCACAAAGTTAGTGGTTCAATCATCGCCATGATTTTCGTTTCCCATGTGTAAGTATGTGAGTCACTAACCGAAATATCGCTAACCTGTTGCGTGACTGCAGGTAAGCACTTCAGTACAGTTTGTTCACTTAGAATTTTTACTGCGTTTTATTCTACATTTCATTTTGGCGTTAGTGTATTAGTGACGCGGTGTACGGAAGTAGCCAAAACCAGCGTACAGACCGGGAAGGCATCGACGGGTCAGGATGTGCAGTCATGACCACAGCGACCAGGCTGGCGCGTTCTCAAACTGGTGGCCGGAATATTTGTGGGAACAAACAGTCAAGTACTGGTACGAAGATTCCCGAGGCCATGGCGTACAATCGGGCATGGTAAGCACCTAAACACTACTCCTATTCTCTACTAAATGGATAGTGAACAGGTTCTGAAAAAGCACAAAGTCGAACCCCGCGCTCTGCTCGGCACATACTACTGGATATGGGGTGGCGGTATGGGAGCGGATGATGAATTGGCTGCAGAAGAGGATATGGAAGGGCATCTCACTATAACTTCGTCGAAGAAATCCAACATCGCATTGAAGGATGTCAATGCGACATTTCAAATTGGTGTGGAGAAAGGTAGTTTCCGAGGACTGAAGCTACAGAATTGGTCCACCCCCAACTGCTTTGCCATGAAGGAGACAAACATCGATGGTACCGAGGACACGGGCGATCATTGTATTTCTGTATCTGAGGGGTCGACGATCGAGGGAATCCGTATGTGATTTTTGGATATGATTACGGGCCGGGAGGGTGCCATGAAGGGGGAGGATTTAATGCTTTTGTGGCAAAGAAGGACAGTGAGAGTATGTCAGCAGCCGAGCTTCATCGTTTGGGGATCTATGTTGATGCTCAAGACATGGAAGACGAGGCACTGGGTGTCAAGGAAGAGGATGTGGACGACTAGTCGGAGCAAATTCGGAAGCTGGATCGGAATGTCACTGTCCAAGTTTTGTCTGTACATAAGGTGTATAAGATTGATGACTATGTCTATTTGGCTTCCCCGGGAGTACCACCAGCAAATTCCTGCCCTGAGGGAGTACGGGGTAGCAAGAACGCCTTTGTATGTCACTAAATCTCTAAGATTATAATCTTAGTCGGTAAACCCCTAGATCTACTAGGCGTGATTCTTTGGACTTAACGCAATTGATACACAACACACGTAGCATGAGGGAAATTTGTCACGGTAGGAGTCAATAGATTAGTGAATCTACTTACCTATCCCAATAATGGTTTTTCCCTTCACATATGAGATAACTACTTCATAGAACGAGAGGAATGTCACCAAGATTGAAACGTGGCTATCGAAAATGAACAGTGAGCTAATGACCATTGACTGCATGATGTGAAATCTTGTGAAAGTCATTAGTCCCGCGACGTTTGTGTATGACTGTAACTGTTGGTCGGTCCGGCAGACGGGAAGTAACGGCGACAAAGAAATTTGCCAAAAACTTAAACAACCGTAGCATTCCAGGCCATCATAATCAGTATGGAGAGTGTCCAGGGCCCTGTACATGGACATGATACCATGATGGTATCAAAGATGACTGGGGGAGCAGGATCGAAATAACGGCTCTGCGGCCATACCAGCACCCGAACGGGAGCAGCTTATGCTACTGCCCGGGGGAGTCAAATGGATTTTTCCAAGATTGATATGTTCGTATTGCATAGTAAGTTCGTACAGAAGTAGCTAAGACCTGGGGGGAAGGAAGACAAAGCACCCATGGTAATATTCAGTAGCAGTGCGTCATTTATTCAAAGGCTGTTCACAGATATGACTCTTCCGCAACTCTTCCGTTGACCTTTCGTGAAGTGTAGAAACGCCATTCGTGAAATTTCCATTCTAGATCATTAGAATCGCGTTCTGCCGACAGTTAATCCTGCAGTATGCCGTATGGCCTACCCCGCTGGTATCTCCACATATTTAAAATGTCGAGCGGTCATATTTCGTGGGGAACATTGTTTTTTCACCTTTTAATAAGGTCAGGCTAACAAGAAATGTTGAGCTACAAGTATGAAACGGGAGTTAGGTATACGTTTGAGCCTTTGGGATGTAACGTTTACCATTGGCGGTAAGATCCTCCATCTCGTCGTCAGTCTGCATCATTGTACATCCACCAGCGTCCTTCGGCAAACCAGCCCCCCCACAAAAGAGAGAGAACGCACTACGCATGCAGTTAAAATAATTGGCAAAGTGGTCCTCGATCCCCGGGGCCACCGCATTCTGAGCGACTTGCTATGAGTTGGAATTTGGTCCCGGGTCCGCGTCATGTCCTCCTTCTTTAAATCTGACATCTTCAAAGTTAACGAAAGACCAATAAGGGAAATAAAACCGGCGAAAATAGAGCACATACATGAAAGTACTGCTTCGTTTCTTCCATTTAATTTACGACGACGGTGGGCACTCGACGCGCCTGTGGCGTGAGAAACCGGCTAACTTCCCGGCACTGGCCACTCTTCTCCTTGACAACCACGTGCAAATGTTGGGAGAAGCACTCCAGAGTGCTCCAATTTCCGACAAGTAATTGCGAAGTCTCCAAGTACGATTCGAAAGGTGTGCTATATTCCACGGAATGGTTTGCATCGTACTGACTACGAATCTGTTCAAACTTGTTTCGGCGAGACAGCTCGGATCATTGATGATATTCTGCGCAATCCAACCCCCCTTGATTCTGCGGCAACAACGCCAAGCATGGCTACAAGCTGATTCACGTTTGACGAAATCGTACCTATCTTCCAGGTGCCTACTTTATTATTTGAAGGCATCTCTTACCCCGCGAAGAAGTTGGAGGACCTTTTCCCTCTTTGACGTTGGGCCCTTCATTGTGTGTTCATAATAAACAACTAAGGATGGTTTGACTCTCTCATGCATGCGTCGCTGGAATATTGTTGTGATGCAATGGTGGTCGCCCTACCGCGCTCGGCGCTCGAGACTACGTCCGGGGATGATTTTCGTACAGCGCATCATGTATCCATGCGACGGGCTGTGCAGCGTGCCTTCTCAGTGAACTGCTTTGAGCGTAATGGCAATCGGAAACGTATCCTGACAATCCAAACTCCAAGCACTGTATGGATGCGCACGCTGCTCCGAAACGTATGACCTAGTGAGTAATTTGCCACCATGTAACCACTGTTGATTTCATGGAATGTAGCTTCTTGTATAAAAGCATGTCAAGTCGTGTTAGAGAGAATTATCAACCCTTATTCACCGTCTCTTTTCGATTCTCGCTACCTTTCATTGAGCGAAGTCTCCCTCGTTTCTTTCTACTATCCTTTCAATCTCCCTAAACGATGTTCGGTACCGCTGCTGTGAGTACTCGCTTGTCGTTTATTTCCGGCTCTGTTAATACATTTTTTAGTTGATTGCTTGTTTGACTGCCCTTTCTGGCGTCACTGCTTTGCCTTTCAGCGACCTCGTCGGTATCCTTCCCAGGGACATTACCCATATCGCTGTCGATGAAGCCCGCGGACACTACCTCGCTTTCAAGCGCGACGGTTCTCTCTACGGCAGGTATCCCGTCGATTCTGAGTCCAACGGTCTCGATCGCCGTGCCGCTAGCCAGTGCGGCCAGCTCTCCATCGATGAAGCCAAAACTCGTCAGTGGCCAGTTCCCTTTCATGCTGTACAACGCTGATTCATATTCATGCAGTTCCTGGATGGGACGCCATTGAGCAATATGCCAATGATAACTGGGGCGACGGCTCCCGCGACGTTGTTACGAACCCTACTGACGTGAGATCCATAGTCGCTACATCCATTCATTCCTGACCATTCTTCCAGTATGTCGACAGCCCTGCCTCGGTATGCATCACCGACGAGGTTGTAGAGCTCACCTTCTCTGGTACGTTCGACCTTGACGTCCTTTCGATCTGAATTCTGATTTGCGAACAGGCGACCCGGTCTGCCAGACGCACACCACCTCTACTGCGGGTCAACTCGTTGGTACTGAAGGTGAAGTTGACATCGAAGTCGACCAAGGCTTCAACACCGATACTTCTTACACCGTCACTAGTATGTCTTCTGAATTGTCTCTATGGCCATTCCATTATTGATCTGATATCCAGCTGCTTCAACTATTGGTGTTTCCAACACGCTGACTGTCAAAGTCGGTGTCCCAGAGGTAGCCGAAGTCACTGAGGCACTGACCATCTCTGCCTCGGTTACGGATACCACTTCAAGCACGTATGTTGTACCTTTTTCGGGGCTACAGCGCATATGCTTAGACAAGCCATTAGCTTCGACGTGTCCTACAACGACGTGAGCAAGGTCACCTTAAAGATTACTGCTCCCGAGGGCAAGACTTGTACCGCTACGGTCAGCGTTTTTTAGTCCGTTATTTACAGTTGGCTGACCACCCTACCTTAGACGAATACCAAGACCTGTAACATCCAAGCGACAGGAAACATCCGCTACCTCGCGAGCGGCTGGATTTGGTTCAACTACGACGACAAGACTCAGGGTCACTACAAATGTTCGTACACTTCTGTGCCTGTTTTCCCGGTCTGACACATGATTGCAGGGGCTGTTGGCATCGAGGCGGTCCTCACGAACCAGGATGACCGTTCCAGCTTTGCCGCATTCAAGGGCTCTATGGTCGCGAACACCCAAACCAGCTATGCCGGCAATTGCGCATGAATTCAACGTTACAATCGGTGATCATGCAGGTCAAGTGTAACGCTGCAATTTCTGTCTATTTATATTTGGTTATCTATACGAAGTTGATAGACGTTGTTTATTCTTCTACGCACAATATTGTACACTAGCAATATACTATCAATGTCACAGTTCCGAAATGCTTAGGATTTCTCAGTAACCCTC